ACTGAACGACACTCCCATCGACGAGGCATCTGCCGACGGGGCGCCGGGGCCGTCGTTGGGGATAGCAGGCCCACACATCGGTGTACTGATCCGACTTCCAGGACTATCGCCGAAGAACTGCTGATTGAATCTGTGAGACCCCACTCGCCCCGGCAGCCGCAGCGCGCCGGGCCGCGCGCGCGAGAGCCGCCCAACCGTGAGCCGCCTGCCGGCTCAGAGGCGTCCACGACGCCAACTGGGCGCCGCCATGCGCTCGTGGGTCGAATGTCTTCAACGTGTTCGTGCAGGAGTCAGGGATGAGCACAGGTGCCGTCTTTTTCTCCACACGGCCATCGCAGGCGTTCAACCATCCGTCTACGCCCCATGGACGGCCCACAGTACGCGCCCCTGACCCATGTCCCGGCGTCCTCCCCTCTCTCTGCGTAAATGCCACCGGTGCCTCTCGCCTCGAGCATTGCGAGGTAGGTTTTTTTTTTGGCAGGAGTTTCGAACGGGGCCTCAGTTTTTGGTACATAATGAATATTCTATTCTTTCCAGGTTGAGAACGGAAACTTCCATTTCATGCGTTGCTGGCGCGCCCACCCATGTCGACGGACATGGCTGCCTGGAGAAGGTGGGATAGAGCGATGGGTGTTTTCTGCTGGGGGGATATGTTGTCGGATCGCTCTCGGCCCCAAGGGGTAGTTTGCCTGAATCTCTGGCTTGATATTAGAACCCAGTCTGCAATGGTGATGCGAGCTATTTGGTGGAGTGTGTAGTTTTGTTGTGGGATATGGTGGCAGTGGAAAGGCTCGGGATTTATAAGGAGCAGGTTGAGTGAGTCTGATTGCTCGCGCAGGCGAGCCTTGGATACGGTTGGTTGGCCAAAGTGTGCTGTGTAAAGATGGACCAGATTTGAGATTGTCGGAGATTAGAGGCGCTGGATGTGTTGTAGAGGGAGAAACTGTGTGTGTGTTCTATGTCGTCTACGGTGTGTTTGGATTTAACTATTTTCGCACATCAAAAGTCCAAATGAAGTTTGGAAAGATTTAGTCACATCCCGTGTAATTAAAAGCTTAGACTTCCATTTTACTTGCTTTGTCCGTACGGTGGAAATTTCATGCGACCCTAATTTTAATAATTGTTTATGACGGTGGAATTGTTAAAATTGTAAATTATTCCTCTCTTGGGTATGAAGGACAGAGGAAGCTCTAGTAAAGGTGTTATATCAATAATATGAGGAGCTTCTGGGGTTAGAAGGTTGTGATTTGCTGGATCACACCAGTGGGATGTACTCGACAGCCTCTTAGAATTAAGAAATTGACAACACCCAAACCCTGTGCGGGAATATAAGAAGACGAATTAAGGGGAAAAAAAAGATGCGCCGAGTAGCAAAGTGGGTCCCAGCCATAGGGTCTGAAGGTGAAAAAAGAGATCAATTACCTCTGTCAAGGGTTAGGCTTTTTTTTCTTGGCACACTTCAGGGTTGTAGACTTATTGTTCCCACACAAGGATGAAGAAAATAGGCTTGATCCTTCTGTTGTCACTTTAATTTCAGCTCTCGTGAGTATGTGCGTTGATTACAGTTGTGAAAGCGAAAACCAGATTTTGAGTCAGTATGATAAGGCAAGTTCAGTGAAGGGACAGAAAAAGGAGAAGTGGAGAGAAGTGAATTGGTTTATGCCTAGTGAGAAATGTCAAGAAGGCTGGGGTGGGTCAATACCGCGGTTTGCAGCAACTCTTTTACTATGTCGAAAAACTCAACGTTGGAGAATCCTGGCTTGTAATTTTCTGACGGGGGAACGAAACACAAGAATGACAGTTTATACTCCTCCTAAGTCGCCATGCGCTTCGTGGGTCAGAATGTCTTCAAACGTGTTCGTGCAGGAGTCAGGATGAGGAAGGTGGCTGTCTTTTTCTCCAACGGGCCGTCGCAGGACAGTTCCAACATCGTTACCGCCATGATGGAGTACCGGGCCCTGAACATCGTCCCGGCGGTCATCTCTCTGCGTAATGCCCCGGCTGTTAGTCGAGCATTGGAGGTAGGTTTTGTTCTTTTGCAGAGTTCAGAACGGGGCCCAGTTTTGGTAAATAATGAAAATAATTTATTCTCAGGTTGACGACACAGGAAACTCCATCTTCATGGTGCTGGGGACGGACATGGCTGACCTGAGGAAGGTGAAGAACTGTGCAATCTGTTACGGTAAGGCCTGAGACTCGGATTTGAACCCATGGCTGCTGCAGCAAGGACTTAGTCTTTGCATGTGGGATGTTGGCTCTACCAGGGGAGCTATTCAGGCGCCCTTGATACGTTTGCCACAGTTTATGGCCAGATTTGGGGAGGTGAGAAACAGCGTTTAAACTTCTCTCTCCATTTTTTTTTTTTCAATCAAAAGTCCAAATGAAGTGAAAGCATTTAAGATCACATCCCCGTCGTATTAGACTTAGACTTCACTTTATTGATTGTACCCCTATTTAAATATTTATGACAAAATTGTAAATTTCTTTAACAGAGAAGCTCAGAGGTGTGATGACCCAATAATTAGAGCTCTGGTTAGAAGTGGGAACTACCACCCATGTCTGACAGTCTGTAAAAAATGCACCCAAACTCCATGAGACATTTAAAAGTCGCCGTCTACCAAAACAGCCCAAACACATAAGAGTCTACAGGGTTGTTTACAACCTCAGTGACTTCCACCAGAGAGATGGACAGTGCCTTGCATGTTGTAACAAATGCTGTCAAGGCAGGTTCAGCATCTTTTAGCATATAATATACTCAAAGACAGACAGGTGCAGTCACATATTTTCTAACAAACTACTTAGTTTCTCAGTGATCACTCTGTGTTTTCTTCAGACCCGTGTAGGCCTTCAGAGCAGTGCACCTTCATCCAGGAACCGGTTCAGCCTCAGGAGGTCAATTTGGACCTGGTCATGGTGGTGGACAGCTCCAGGGAGGTGCAGGCTGATGAGTACGCTGGTGCTCAGCAGCTGCTGGGTTCTGTGGTGGAACAGTTGGCCGTGAGCCCGCAGCCCCGCAGGGCCGGCAACCAGGCCCGGGTGGCTGTAGTCCAGCAGAGTGGTACCCAGGCTGCCAAGGTGGAGTTTGGCCTGCAGACCTAACCAGAAACCACAACCTGATGAAGAGGCACTCTGACCCAGAACATCGGCAGCAGGTCGGCAAACCTCCTGTACTGGACCATACCCCTGGAGTTACCCGAAGGAGGTGCTCCTGAAGGCCAGCCAGTCCCACGGAGGAGGAAGGCGAGTGCTGGCTGTGGTGGAGAGAACCCAGACAGCTTACCAAGACAGAGCCAGGCTGCACTACAGTTCTCCCAGAAAGGCCAAAGTGTGGAGGGGTGCGCTGTTTGTAGGTGAACGGTCGGCGAGCGCTACAACCAGACCCAGGTGGAGGAGCTGGCCAGTCCACCTGTACTGCAGCACCTGATCCACATCCGCAGGCTGAAGGCTGACGAGCAGGGCTACGCCCAGCGCTTCTTCAGAGTCTTCCTCAGCGCCCTTAACAGTAAGACTGGGCTCCTCTTCATCCCCGGATATCGTCAACTTAATTCAAGTTTATACTTAAACTTCAACACTTTTTCAGAACGAAATATGTATTTTTTTTTACATTTATTAGACAGTTACAAAAATCATTGAGGGCTGGTAAAAGTTTAAAATGACTGAAAATATACAAGATATTAAAATCATAAAAGTTATAAGAAAACAACTTATCAATTAAAGTGTAACTAAACCCCTAAATTCTGCTAACGGGATGTAACAGTGACCAGAGTACAGCTGCGGGTAGTCAGCTGCAGTCAGACTCTACTGTCTGCTGGAGCATGTATAGTCACTAGAAGCACATTCACGTTTTAAAGTAAAATTTTCTTTGTGCTACTTGGGTTAGGGTGGCTAACGGCTACGTAGCAGGCCACAGTCGGCAGTGGGAAGACGTTGGTTTTATAGCAGCCTCCACATACGTCACCGGCCTCCAGATCAGCCGATAGTGAAATTCAGTTGGCCTTTCCTAAGTCCCGCCCCTTTTTGTTGGTATGCTATGTGACTATATAAACAGTACATGTCTCTTTAATTTTTATCCATCTTCAAAATGTGGTTGTCTTTCCAACATAGATTAGCTTAGCATATAGCATATCTACATTCAGGAAAGGAAAAAGTAGATCAAGGTTGGCTCCACTCTGATTGGAGCACAGAAGAAAAGGGTTGGAGCTTACAAGCAAAAGTGGGCGGTCACTATCCATATTTATAGCAAAATATGTATAATTCTGATACTTTGCACTAAAAGGTTGAAGCTGATTGGATCAATAACACAATTACATTGTTTTGGGGTTTAATTACTCTTTTTTCATTTATGGATAGAATAATATAAACGCACAATTCATAGAGATAGAGATACAAAACAATTCAAGTAAAACATGAATGAAATGAATGAAAAATATCCATAACAGAGAAAAACATCTTCATTAGTTCACAACTACAAAGATTTCAGTCAGTAATCAGCCTGATGGTTGCAGTTAAAACTACTGTGTCCTGTTTATTTCAGAGGGAATTAACTCGTATCCTTCTCCTGCTTTAAAACGGACTTGTGACCAGCTGACAGACGATGGAGGACAAACATTCATACCTGGGTAACTTGTTTCCGTCTCTGATTGCAAACTGAATATCTCTGTGTTTGAGGCAGACGTTCTGAGAAACTGAAGTCACTTCACAGACATTTAATGGACGTAATTGTTGTTTGAAGCTGAAACAGAATCAGTTGAAAGTGTAACGTGTTGGAACCAGGTTCCAGATCTTTTGGAAACCCCCCCCCTTACGTTGTACATTACAGGAAACCTGTCATATCTCATCTTTATACATTCATTCATATGGTAAAACTGCCTCTTCTGACGGTAAAAACTCGGATTTATACGGTAAAATATGGTTTAAAACAGTATTTACGTCTTCTACCGAATTTATTACAGTTACAAGTTCAGCCACTGTGATTGTTAATGAGTGAGTTTGTGTTGCTGTGTGGGGGCCAGTCAGGGGTCGGTGGACGTGGAGTTGGACTTCGCGGAGGAAGAGGAGGAGAGGTTTGAGGAGCAGATGGGAGGACAGACTCAGACCGGCCAGCTGGACATCATCGAGACTCTGACCAGAGGAGACGGCCAAAAATTTGTCTCAGGAGTGGACGGTAGCACGCACACACTCACACACACACACAAGATAAAATGAAGCCAAAAACACCAACTTACTGCACTAAAATGGACTAATTAATAAACAAAAAGCTCCAATATATATTATTTCCTCATTAAACAGAGTGAGCCAAGTTCTATATGTAGGTGATCCAATCAATAATCTATAATCATTAAACAGTGTATTAACTCTAAGTTCTATATGTAGTTGAGTTGTGTTCTTACATTATGTTAAATGTTTCCAACAATGTTCTATATGTAAATTTCCATCAGCAGTGACTACAACTCCCATAATCCCACAGAATAAAATCGCTCTTCACCAGACTCCAGAGACAAAAACGCAAATTTTACCTCTTAACATCTCAAAATAGTTCTAATCTCTAAATCTCATATATAAATAACCTTTAAAGTAGCATGTGGCCTCCAGTGTCTCCAGGGGGCGCTGTGTGAAGGCCAATAAATGGCCTCAAGTGATGTCACCTGAGTCAGTGTTGGCTGAAGACGAGTTTGAAAATGATAAAAATCTGTGAGTTAGACAGAAGTGCTCCATCCGGCTACGTTAGCCACTGTTAGCATAACACACAGCTATCACCCAACCAACTGTCGGCCATGCTGTCGGTGTTGCATTCTGGGTAATGTAGGCACAGAACAATGTGTGAAATAAAAAAAAGGTATCTCTGGTTCTGCTGTACCGATTTTGACACATTTGAGTGTAAACATACTGTTTATGTCCAAGTGAAAGCCGTGCTGGCGCCGCCTGGAGGCCGGAGGGTTCATAACAGCCCTCAGACTGAACAACATACAGTTTCTCATCAAAAAGTGAAACTAATGAAAGTTGACGCCTCGAAGCTCCTACTTCCTGTTAGCATGTTTACCTCTTTTATATGTTATTTTATTTATGTCATTAACACATTTGTTTGTCTGGAATGATTGCATGTGTTCTCCCGGAGCGGCGGCTCTTAAATAAAACCAGTTTACTCCTGATGAGCCGCCGCACCGGAGGATCAGTGTTTGTAGTAAATGTGTGTGTTCTGCTTGCAGCCCAGTGTCAGCTGGAGTCTGATTCTGGCATCCAGTGTGCCAACTATGTCCTGTTGTGGTTCTTTGACAAAGCCATCGGTGCATGCGCTCACTTCTGGTACGGCGGGTGCGGCGGTAACGCCAACCGCTTTAACTCGGAGTTTGAATGTTTGAGGACATGTGGGCACCACAGTAAGTCCCCGACTGAGTGAACCCAGCAACGTCTGTGTGGACTAACGAGAGTTATTTTGATATTAACAACGCCGTCTTCATGTTGTCTGATAACTTTAATGTTTTGTTTGTACAATAACAACACTAAAACTAAAATCCTCCAGAGGCTGCATGCTAATTCCTCCCACAGTGCAGGAGAGCAGATCATCTTTAAATAAGCTTTAATGGGTTTTAAAGGGACTTTCTCTGTTAGTTACAGTGTAATCCTCAGACGTCTTTAAAGTCCAGGTGAAATGTTAGCTGCACGAGCTACCTAGCTAACGGCATCTCACATTACTGTTAGTGACAGTTAACTTCTTTTAGCAACAAGTCCATCAGTAAACTCCATAAATCACCTCGGTACCGCTGTCGTCCAACTGTCCTCTGTCTGTCACTGAGGTTGTGTTCACGGGGAGGCTGCTAAAAGTTGAAGATTGACGGGTGAATGTCAGGATA